AAGCCAGTTCCGTCGTCCGCGCAGGCGCGCCGCGCACAGCTTCCCGAAGCAGGCCATTTGGCCCATTTGCCGATTTGCGTGCACTCCCGAGGCAGGCCAGGCCAGGCCAGGCTGGCCAGATGGTTTTCGCGTTCCGTCCCGAGGCGGCGAGGCCAGGTGGCGGGCGGCCCAGGCTAGTTCAGCGTCGCCGGCGTCCGCAGATCCGTGTCGGCGTCCAAAGGCAATGTCGCGTCCGCGGCTATGCGGGTCGGGTTCGGGTCCAGAAAATTGACCCGTTTGCAAAACCGGGTCGGGTCAACCTGAACCCGAATTGTGCCGGGTCAATTTCGGGTTCGGGTCAACCCGACCCGTAACCCGAAATTGACAGGTCTATGCATTAGAGTTTAAAAAAAAATATAAGTGTGAAATTTAATTTTACTAATAACAAAAATTCCAAGGACAAAAGAGACAATTCCTACTCTCCCCAAAATCAATAAGCCATTTATTGATTTTGTTAGATTAGTATTTTATGTAAAAATAGAGTAATAGTACAAAAATGTTAACAATTCAACAAAATTAATTAATCAATTAAGAAAAAATAAATAAATAAAAAGAATCATCTTCTCTTAGGCAACTGAAAAGTCTTCTTCAAGAAATTATTAGCCATGTCATCGTTCCGGTGACAGATGACTCTAAGCACAGTATTAGGATCTGATCGGCTCCACCTTCCGGTGGTCGGCGGCAGAATTAATTTCTGCCCTTCGGCAAGACTGCTCACGCCGCTGGATTCACAGGCGAGAATGGTGAAATCCTCGATGATCCTCTCCGTCGGTAAGCTCATTAGTCCAACGATGCCTTCCACGACTCTCGCCTCCCGATCCACCACGTCTTCCGACACTAACCCCTCGCCGGAGGCACAGAACACTCTTTTCAAGTTTCGAAAGTCTTCCATCACCATCTCGTAATCTGTTCGGACGAAAGCTCGCTCTGATCCTCCGGCTAAGAGCACCATCAAGAACGCTTCGAATGTCGCTCTCATCACCTCCTTAACCGCCGTTTGCTGCGCTCGGTCGGTTAGCAGTGTCAGGAGAAGATTGAGGTTCTGCTTTAGAATCCTCAATGTTGGTCGGATTCTTGATCTACTGACGTCGTCGATGTAGAGGCCACCGTAGAAGGAGTGGCCGGAGTCGAGGAAGATGAGGCGGTACGCGGCGACCTCGGAAACGCGCTGGATGGCGACCTGAATTGAGGCGCGGATGAGATCGAAGTGGGTCGCGGGGGTTAATCGGCGGTTGCCTTGAAGCTGGTGGTGGTGTTTGCGGAGTATGGGGGAAGGACCTGGGTGGGCGGAGGCGGAGGCTGCTCCGCCGCGGGAGAAGAAGGTGAGGGATTTATCGAGGGAGTGAATGTGAGAATGAAGGTAGTGGAGAGTGTTAATTCGGATATACAGCCGCTTCGTTCCTCGGCTCGTCGACGGCCGTGGGTGGTGGGTTTCTCCCGCCGGAGTTCCCGCAGCCGGGCCTACACCGCCGACCACGGCCTGTCCGTTGTCCATTCCAGCTGTGCACGGCTTCGCTTTCTTCCACAGCTTCGTTAATTTCGAGTCCTGATTGCATCGCGTTAATGGCGGCAACAACGGCACGTAGCTCTGCCGATTCCCTGCCGCGAAATTCAAATCAGAAATTCGAAGAAACACCAAACTCCCTACATCATAAAAAACAAAATCACTCACCGCATGAAGCAACGAAGGTGGCATACTCCTTGAAGATCGCTTCAAGCCCCTCGGCCAAATCGTGCACCATTTCATCTCTCGCCGTCATCGGAATCTGGAAGAATTCATCGACGGTCACCTTCGCCAATTTTATCAGATCCACCGCCGACAGTGTGAATGGCTCGCTCTTCGATTTCGGCATCCAGTTCTATAAGTTGCATAAATTTCAGTGCAAAATTCAAAATTTATTTTTTTACAAACTATCAAACTCACCTCTGTTTCTTTGGCTCGTTTAACACTCTCCCTCCCAATCCGAAGCCTCTCATCCACCCAAGTCTTCAAGAGTCCAACAGCAATGGTGTCGATCTCGTACGGAACCATCTCTCTAAGAAGATTATTCTTGTTTCCATCATCGTTATCTGCAGCGTCTTCACCGACCATCTGAATTAGCAGCTTTTCAAGCCTGCTGGCGCAATGGAGAACGCGCACAAGGTTGTTGGTGAGGCTATTCACCTTAGCAAGATATTGCTTCAGTACAACTCCGAAGCAATTATGCAACGTCACCAACGCTATTCCGGTGGCCGCCGGGCACCATTGTCGCAGCACAGGACTGAACTTCTCTCTCTCCGTCGCGGCGAGTGCCTCCGTGTCTTTCGCCAACTCGATCAAGATATCGCTGGGATCCTCGTCCACCTCCACGATCATGCTATCGACATGATCATGCCCTGTCTCGAACACCTTCGTAAAGGCATTGCGCAGAGATCTTTGAATATAGAATTCAACCCGGCTGGAAACAGAGCCAGACGAGGTTTCTCTCTCTACAAGTCCCGGCGTGTTACCTGCCAACCCGGGGAGGTCTTCGACGATGATCTTTGTTGTTGATAGCGCAAGCGAAAGAATTTTCTCCATGTTTTCCAGTGTTCCCTTGTCGAAATTCTCGTGGTAGTCCAGTAGCCTTTTCTCTGTCCACCCCTGCATCGAAACCAGAACGCCGGAGAGAACCTTGATATAACTCGGTTCCCGATCTACCACTCTCTTCACGTCGGTTGCCACTTCGAACAACATGTTCAACGTCGCCTTGATCAAGTCCGGTTCGATCTGCCCGGTGACGACGTACTGCTGGAACAAAATCCAGGTGAAGCAAAGATTGTGGATACTTCGGTTGATTCCTAAAGTAGGCCATGTTTTCTTAATTAGCTCTAGAAGTTCGTCGACCTCATCGAGCACTACGGTTTCTTCGCGCATGTCGAATATGGATTTAAGCAGGGCGAGGTAAAGATGAACGTTGACGGGGAATCCGTCGGCCCAGTGGATGCTTCCGGCGCTGGATGTTTTGGAGCTGCGCCAAGCAAGAGCAGTCACGGCGCTGCTAAGATTGCGCATTGCGTCGGAGTTTTTGCTTGTATCGATGGGCTTGACCTCGCTATCCATTAGAACTTGGCGGAATCGGAGAGCGGCGGCATTGAGTCGGTCAAGGGGAAGAGATGGGTGGAGCAGAAGCCCGACTTCGAGGATCTTGAGTTGCCTCCTTTGCCATTGATGATACTCTTGGCTATCATTGAATTCCGATGGTTTCAGATGGCGGAGGAGCTCAAGCGGGAGGATGATGGTCTCCGCTCTTCTCCCATTCTGACCGACGAAGCTTCTCATGAGGATTTTTCTCAGCCTGTTATCGCTCTGCTCCGTAACGCGCATCTGCCGCCGCATGATCTCGGCGGAGGTCATCGGCCGCTTGATCCTTCCGGGAGAGCTGGGAACAAAGTTTCGTCCCGGGGAATTTGGACTGGCGGCATGAAGATTTGCCACCGATCTCAGCGCCAAGGAATTCATCGCGCGCATTGGAGGCGGCCGTCGGGCTTTCAGCCCGAGCGTGCTCTTCACCCGACTGGTCACCACCATCATCCCCGTGCCGCCCTTGGGTCCGACTACCGCCGGCTGCTGCGTATAGGGGGCCTCCACCACATCACCCCAGCTTCCAACGTAGGCGATGGCTCCCCTGTTTCCGAAGCCAGGGGACGAGCGGCAGGACATGAAGAAAATCTCGTAGGCGGTTTCGCGGAGGTCGGAGCGGCGGAGTGTGCCGAGGCGGGCGCCGAAGGGCCAGTTGATTTCGCTGTCCCCGGACGATATGGAGGCGAGGGATTCATTGTTGGGGGAGATGGAGGAGCGGGGGGACGCGGGTGGAGCCATGAACTAGCTAGTAAGGGGCGGCCAGCTGCGGCGACGGCCGCGTTAGCTGAGGAACATGGCCACCATCGCATGGATCTTGTTCGGGCCTGGCCGCCCCTAAAATGAAAAATGATGAGCATGAGAAATGGGATATAGAGAAAGAGAAAGGGCGAGCAAGCAGCGAGAGAGGAAAATAGGAGAAGAGACAGGGAGGAAGGGGAGTTCGTTTGGCGTTCAATCCATGGATTCCGGAGGCCAATGCGGTGGCTGAGGTAAGCTTCATTCCGACAGGTCAATCCGTTGTTGACGCCAATTTTGTTGGTTTCTAGAGCAGAGCCCCCATGGAAAATTTATTTCCCCGTTTTTATAATAATAATAATAATAATAATTAAATAATTAAATATATTTAATTAAAATTTAATGCATAAAAATAACTTTAATGATGCTTCAATTTTAATTAAAAAAGAAACTATTATGTATTAATTTTTAGTTTAATTTTATTTACTAAAATCTTTTAATTTAAAATAAATAATAGTTTTTATTTATCGGTACATTTATAGCATGGTTAAATGTTTCAATAAGATGAACTCGACTGATATCAAAAGTGGCCTAATTTGAGTTCAAATGAGCTTAAATATTCAAGAGCTTAAAGCAAAATTAAAAATCTTGTGATATTAATTGCATGTTAAGCTCCTTTTTCATGATGTTGAAGGAGAAATGATAGGCCTCTTAAACACAAGATTATGCTTAATTGTAACATGACTAACCAATTTAAGAGAGTAGTAATCAAGTGATAGGAGCTCATTACACCAAGTCGAAGTAAGGGCTTGTTTGAAGAAGCCTTGATATAAGCTCCATGGATAAGGGATCTATTTAGAAGTCATGACAAAAGCTCATTAGAGAAGCAATCGATGGAACTAATGGCGAGAACATCAAAGAAGGAGCTTACCCGTGAAGGTTTCAATGAAATTCGTAGCAACGAAGTTGTAGCGGGAACTCACTAGAGAAGACATCGCTGACACTGGAAACAAGGAAGTTGCGATGAAAGTTCTCTAGAGATGGCATTAACAGTTCCAATTGAAGAAGAAATAAAGTTCACGAGACTTACGGCTTCCTCCCAAATTGAGATTAAACCAAAAGCAAAATGTGATTTGGGATTTATAATCAAGTTGGCTCATGAGCTAACGAGTTGAGTTTTGTAAAGCCGAGCTTAAGCTCATTTAATACACGAGTTGTATATTGAGCTTAAGGTTTCAGCTCGCTTACACCCTTCCTCCTAATACCTAGCATATTGCAACCAATACCTATGTTGAAGTTTGATGAAATATTTTGTCAATGAGGAAGAGAATTAGCATAAACGTTTTCATCAATTTTTTAGTATAAATATTTTAATCTTTGTACTATAAAGATGCTTTAAAAAGCAGTAAGAAAGCCGTCCCAAACGATATTGTTTATCAATCACATTATGGAGCATTCCATACAAGCCACCAGCCTCCTAATTAAACAGTAATCCATGCCGGCTTTAATTTCTTCTTTGAGAGCTTTTACATACAAGAAGATTTCTCCATTAAGACCTCCAATGCTTCCTAATTCTTCTTTGATTGATAAGACCAAATTAATCTCACGAGGTTTTAACCACCGGAGCTCCTGCTGCGCTTGTACTCTTAACTATTTGGTGGGTCATCTCTCCCATTCAAGAGAGGCCTGCAAATCATTGTAGTTCCTTCAGGCTTGAGCTGTCGCCATGCACACAGAGTTCTTCTCCCTTTCAGGCACTTTTTAATGTCTTAGGTTTCATTTGGGATGTCTTTTTGGCTGCTTCTTAAAACAGTTTTCTAGTACAAGAATTTTAATTTTTTAACTGGAAAGCTGCTTCAAGAAGCAGCAAAAAAACCGTCCCAGATAAATCCTTAATCTCTTCGTTTGCACCCCGATGATAATTCTATTCTTCATGCAAGGATGTCTTCAACTTCCTTATCTCATCCTCTAACGTTATTGGGTAGTAAATCACGCAACTAAACAAAAAAGAGAAAATAAAAAAACAACGGAAATGAAAGGATTTAACCTGGAAAAACTTGAAATCGGAATAAATCACATTGCCACATAACATCAATAAATTCACTATGAAAATTAAAAGAAATTATACATATCACTTCTCTCTCATTATCCTTGTTTCTTTTCATTTCTCTCTACGCTCTATATAGAATTGATATGTCACCAAAAATTGCATTGACCGAGCAAGAATCTCAAGACATATTTAAGTTGGAAACTTCTAAAATCATATTCAAGATCATATGAACTTTGATTTCAACAAACTTATTGAACGTCTCAAAAATACGAACCCAACAACACTAAATTCGACTCAATCCGAGCCCAAATGGGTCTAAATCGAAGACTCAAAACTTATTTGGGAGATTCAAAGCATTAATTGGAAGACTAAAAATATCTAAATGCAACATACTTAAAGTCAAATCAAGCGGCTCGGTGAGACAAATCTAATGGGTCTAAGATCGCTAAATTCCGACATCGTCAAGGCACTTAAACAATTGAAAAAATATCTAAGATTGGATGAATCAATACGAGCCATCCAATGGAGCGCTCCGAACCTGGCCCGATTCTTCTTTATATTTACGGGAAGTGTCACTCATGAAAATCTATAAATAGACCCTCACTCTCTACATAAAGGGGGACATTTGGCAGAGATTGAAGAGAGCTCTGAGGCTTCAAGAGCTCCAGCACCTTTGACAGTGACCCCCCTTCAACAGTCGTCGGACCACCGCTTGGCCATATTTCACCGCCAAACTTCCACCCGGCCACCATCGGACTTCAACTCGACCATCCTAGGACCACCGCTCGGCCACCGGCCGCCGCCGGACTTCAGCCCGACCGTTGTAGTACCACCGCCCAATCGTCGACCACTGGCCGACCTTTAGGCTTCAGCCCGATTGTCGTAGAACCACCGCCTGACAACGGTCTTTTCAACTTCTGTAACCTACGGACTACGGTCATTCCGACCTTTGTCGCCCACCGACTCCGTTCCTTTCGACTTTTGTCGCTCGTTGACTACGGTCCTTCCGTGCTCGACGATTATTGCCCTTACGACCCCCATCACCAGACAATGATCTTCCTGGCTTCCGACTATGGTCCTTTCGACCTTCGTCGCCTGCCAACTATGATCTCGCAGACCAAACGAACATATCAATGTTTGTTCTTCCAATTTCCACCGTGTAATACACTATATATGATGTATATTTGCTACATCAAACCAAAGCCTTCTCCCCCAAGGAAGGGCCTCATTTGTAATTGATTAGAGGATTCAGTCAAATTGGGCCATACCCAGTGGTTTTTACTCCTCCTCAGGGGTTTCCACGTAAAAACTCTGGTGTCTCTTATGAACGCTATACCCTCTCTTTTATCTGATTGTGTGTTGGATCTTCGTATAAAGCTAAGACATTAAACATAATATTTATCTATCGCCGCGAATATTCCAAGACACAAGAAGAATAAACAAAGAAATATACTTGAATTATACATAGGGATGCAAACTTTCAAGTTAAGCATGAAAGTTTTTCTCTATCACTGCGAATATCCATGAGCCACCCTAGAGTGTGGTGGTGCTGCAGCCTACAACGCCGCAGTGCTTATTCTCTGTCTCCAACCATAAGGTGCATAGCCGTACTACAATATGAGAATTTTTTTTTATTGAGGGCGAAAAGGCCCCGAACCCAAATTGGATGTCCTGACAAGCTTGACCGATAAAACTAAAATCTTATTCAACAATATAATCTGATTCATCAACATAATCTTATTCCACACAAAACTAACCAACATGCGATTTCCTTCCATTCTAAGCAACTCGGTGAAGTACAAAGTTCATATGCCAAGTCATTGAGTTGGGCCTCATTGCAGCGACGTGTATCTTGTGCGAATGGAATCGAGTCTCTCAAATTTGGTAGCTTTATTTTATTCAATCCTTCACTATCGAAAAAAGTGGGCTTTCGCAGTGCTTTTTGGGAGCTTTCAAGGCCATTTTATTCAATCCTTCACTTACCCTAAACCCCATAAGCTTATATTTAACATCATTTTTTTTATTTTTTAAGTTTTTTTATTTAATAGTTATTCAGTTTTGTGCGTACGTATAATACAAAATTTCATCAAAATTGGCCCCTTAACCAAAAGAAAAAAAAAGTGACTTTTGCAATCATAAAATTATGAACAGGAATCTCGCGATATGACATTGTCGTTGTAAGCTCTTCATCCATGGGAGAAACTTCAAGATTGAATTTGCAAGACTTAATGGTCTAAAAGCTCACTTGTGAATGAATCATAAGCTAACTAAGAAAAATCAATTTGAGAGTTATAAATTGATTGTAAAAGTTATATTACTGCTTCTTGAAACAACTTTTTAGTGTATATATATATATATATATATATGTGTGTGTCGAGGAGTATTCGCGGCGGTAGAGAAATATAAAGTTTATCGTTTTAACGTTGTACGAAAACCCGGCACGCAATCAGATAAGAGAGAGTGTCTAGCATTTATGAGACATCAAGATTTTTACGTGGAAAACCCCTGAAAAG